AGGCTAACAGCATACTGGGCTGTATTAGTAGAAGCATTGCCAGAAGATCCAGGTAAGTAATCATTTCACTCTATTCTGTACTGGTGAAGCCACATCTGGAGTACTGTGTCCAATTTTGGGCCCCCCACTATAGAAAGGATGTGGACAAATTGGAGGGAGTCCAACGGAGAGCAATGAAAATGCTTCAGGGGTTAAAGCACATGACTCTCTGAGGAGAGGCTGAGGGAACTGGGCTTATTTAGTCTGTGGAACAGATGACTGAGGGGGGATTTGATATCAACCTTCCACTACCTGAAGGGTGGTTTCAAAGACAATGGAACTAGACTGTTCTCAGAACAAGGAGCAATGGTCTCAAGTTGCAGCAAGGGAAGTTTAAATTGAGTATTAGGAAAAACTCTCTCACTGGGAGGGTGGTAAAGGACTGGAACAAGTTACCTAGAAAGGTGGTGGAATCTCCATTCTTAGAGGTCTTTAAGGCCCGGCTTGACAAAGCCCTGGCTGGAATGATCTAGTTGGAGATGGTCCTGCTTTGAGCAAGGAGTTTGACTAGATGCCCTCCTTAGGACCCTTCCAACCCTAGTTTTCCTATGATTCTATGAAAGGAACTCTTGAGATATCTCTACTTCAAGGTCTATATATTTAACTACCAAGCTGATTCTCATACAAAAAAAAATTGATCATCATAATTTTAGATATTTTCCAACATGGAAACTGAAATTAAGTGGTCTGATCTTATCCCTACTTTTGCATGTAGAAAGCAGGACAAATCCAGATGACCTAGAAGAGTTAACTATATTTGGTTAGAGGTAACTGGGGCCTCACTCTTAAGTAGTACAGTCCTCTTCACTTCAATCCAGCATGGTCTTTGAATGAAGTCTGTAGTCATAGTTGTAAGGGAAGAGCCAAGGCCCCCTCTCCTTCCAAGCACAAATGCATGACAAAAACCTGGTCTGAGACTGTTATTTCAAGGGGTTTTTTTGCCCCAAGCTTGGCTAAGTAACCAATGGAAGCAAAGGTTTGAAAAGAGCTGTTCAGACAATAGCATGAACTGTCCCTCCTCTTAATTAAACTGATGCCCTTAAAGGTGGTTATTACTTTGAATCATGGAACTCCATACTCTTTAAGATGATAATTCCCCAATAATATTATTTGGACAAAACTTCCTGGGTTTAAACGTGTATGCTGCTGGCCTGTCCCCTCAGCTCAGGAAAGACAGACATTACTCCCATAAACTTTTTTCAGGCTTATTATTGAAACCAGCTTCACAAAACCTAAGCTATTCCCCTGACTAAGGCAGGCTCTTGTCCTCTACTTCAGAACTACTGCAGGCTTCCTACTTGTTTCCTGTAGCTTCTTCTCAACTAAGGCACTTACTGACTTTTGTAATCACTCATTCAGTCTTAGCTGGGAGGTGGTTGATCACTGATAGCTGAGGCTGACTCAGGTTTCCATTAACATTCCAGACACCCTGTAACACAAGGCCTTGGAACTTGTCTAGTTAACCTTTGCAGGCTGTAAGCCTTTGTGGAACAGGGCAAAGTGTGATCCAGCATCATGAGCAAAATACATTATTGTGGTATTTTGTCCAGATATATATGTAGGACTATGATAAGCTTTCCACACAGTGTACTAGACATTATCTCTTCACCTTTGTAGATACAAAGTTGTGTTATAAAATGTACTGCCTTGAAGTTTGGACCCTGAATTCTGAGGTAGAAATTCATTATTCTGCAGACTTTGACATGTGTGATCGATGTTAATTTTAGAGTTTCTAAAAAAAAAAAAAGTGCTCTGACAAACAATTGAAGCACTTTATTAATGTTCTATAGAGGATGCATAAACCATCACATAGCTTTTTTTACTAGGATCAGCATGTTTTAAAAGGATGGTGGAGGCAGTTCTCTTTGTTGGTTGATGCATTGTACATTCTGCCTGTTAGCTGCTGCTTCTAAAATTATTTGATCTTCCTGGTTAAAACCATCACTTCTACATTTTATACATCATGCACTGTTGAAACAAAAGGTCCAAAGTGAGGAAAAGTAGTATTCATAAGGAGCTAAGAAATCAAAATCCAGAGCAGGCTTGGAAACTGCATAGCAAGCACAAACTCAACTTTAAAACAAACTCTTTCATTAAAGACCAAGTCACCCTATTTTTAGCCATTAGTTCTCCAGGATTACATAACTGCCCTGCATCTTTATCCATTAGGGCTATGTGATGCTGGCGTGTAGTTAGATTTTGGAAAACAAATAAATGAAGCTTTACAAAATCTAAAAGTGTTCATGATTATTTAATGGTTTTCTTATGATAGTACCTAGGGGCCCTAACTAGGTTGGAGCCTCATTGTGTCAAGTATTGTACAAATACAGTAAATGATTGTCAGTAAATCAAGAAACAAGAACTCTAATTTATTTTCTCTGTACAGCAGCCATTACCATGGGACTTCAGCTTAGAATATAGACTTTTCAATCACAGTTAAATGTAAATAGATTTTTTTTTTGGCTAAAAACTCCATTGCAATGAAAAACTATTGTATAACAAGCCCCAAAACAGACTATAAACGGAGTTAAACTGGCTAATTTAATTCCAGAACCTAAGTGAGGTAAAGTGAAACAAGAAAGCAGAAACACTGAAAAGTTTGAAATAATATTAAAAACCAGTTGTAATAATCTTGTTGTGGCAGGTCAGGTTCACCTGCTACCATACTTTACAGTAGGTGGTATGCCAAGTGCTGGATAGGTATTAAATAACCTAGCAATCTGTAAGGTGCAAATGGCTTTGGGCAAAAGAGCACCTTAATCTTACCTCTGGTGGAGGAAATGCCACAAAGAGCTTGTGGAACTCCATGATAGGGTTGACTAGGCTCTTTAACCTTGGCTGGCAGCCAATATAGAAGTGGAGCCCTAACAGATGGAAAAATGGATGATATCCTTTGATCCGGGAGCTTCTGCAATCAAGCTGCTTCCAAAAATATTGCCCCCTGCCTTATCTTTAGATTAAGCCAGCAAGACCAAGAAGGGGACACCACTAGTGTGTGGACAACTCGGTGTCTCCATATACACTGCCTAGGCTTTTGTGCCCTGAAGAGGTCATGCCAGTTTTCCTTTACCTTTCAACATGTTCAGTGAGCTAACGCCTCACTTGATACAATTCTATTTTCTTGCAAGACAGAGAGATGCCTACTACTACTACTAGTGCAATAACCTTGGTAAGGGAAAGTGGAATTATATACACACAGGTAAAGGAAATCAGAATTACATACTTCTAGATTGTTCCAACTTCTACTAAAGTAAACTAGAATCTGAAGGATTGAGAAGTCTTCCCTAGCAGGCAAGAGGGAAGTTCATATCAACACCGAGAGCCTTCCAACCATTGGTCTACTGGGAGGCAGATACAACCCAAGAAGGCAAAGTATACTATGAAGAGGATTTTGCCAAGACCCAGACAAGTGGGTAATTTCAGCTTTCCTAAGCCAACAGGGCATCCTAATTAATTGAAGCTTCCTTCTGGAAGACAAAAACTTTATTAGTTGTACATAGTTGAAACAAACATGACTGTCTTTTGGAGTATCTATGCATGCATACATGCACACATATATATCCTCAAGGCCAGAGTCTTCTACCCTTATTCCCTCTGAGCAGAGTTAACACACTATGGCAACATACAGAAAACATACTACTTGCTATGAGCAAGAACTAGCCTGCATAGATCTCAAAACCTTAAAAGAGCCTATATTATTCAGAACCAGACTGAGCCTTTTGGTTGGAGGTGCAGCATCTGAAGGAGCTATGGAAAGAAGTGTGCCTCAGATAACACTTCCTTCTCATCTTGCTCTGTGATGCATGATCGGAAGTGTAATTTACTTCATCACTTTCCACAAAGGAAAAATATCTTTGTATCTGCTAGGCTGTCCCACCCAGGACACAGCTAAACCCCTTCCCAGTTGCTCACAAGGGAAACATCTTTCACATAATCCCTGCTTCCTTCATTAAAGCAGGTCAGTATCAGTAGGAGCACCAAGGCATGCACTGAGAACTGGATGAGTATAGCTCACAAGACTCCTCTGTAGGTGGTGTGGTTTCATGCTAGGCTTCTCCTACACATAGTTGTTTCCAACTCATGATTGTGCCCTTATGAGTTCAGAAGCTATGGAGAGCACCTGAGATCAATCATTCACTGGCCCAGGGGAAGTTAAAAGTGCCCAGGGAGCAGGGCTGAGAGAGAAAGGGGGTGGGTGGTGCCAAGGAGGTAGCACTGAACTGTGCCACAGGGTTCCTCTCTCTGGGCCTTGGAAGGACCATAACTGTGAGTTAACCCTTTGTTGATTGTATGACTGTTTGTTAAAGACATCATTTTTGTTATGGACATTATTTTCTGGATGAGAGCAAAGTTGCCTCTGGAAAAATAAAGTGCTGAATGACTACCTGCTACAGACCTCTTGCAGGAACATATAACAAAAGCAACTTCTGGCAAGATTCAGCCTGAAGTCACTTTACTTTCCCCAATGAGTAAAAACTTCCAGCATAAAAACCTTTAAAGTGCCTTGTAAGAGGCTTAAAATTATACCAGTTTTACATGTTAAAAATCTGTCATTTTAAAAATTCTGAAATCCTTTTCATGACAGAGCATCTCTTGAGCTCATCATCTTTTTCTCCTTTGGGGATCTTAGCTAACTGTCTAAATGCCCTAGGACAAAAAATCCCCATTGATAATTATCAAAAACTTGGCAACAAACACACAGTTTAGGTAAAATATATGTGCTGAGGCAAGATGGCTACAAGCCAGGCTTCCCCTCCCTCAAAACTTCTAACTTATTATTTGAAAAAAGTATACTAATTACTTTCAGTGCAAGGCTCTTTTTCAGCAGACAGTCAAAACCTAGATAGCTCTTGCGCTGTTTCAATATGAGAAGAAAATACTGTGATCTGATTATTTTTTTGTGAAGACCCAAGTTGATGTTTCAGAGCTTTTGAAATTATACTGTAGGAAGTTATCCAGACCTCAGATTTGGGAGAAAATTCCTGTAGTATTGTGGAATTGCCATTTCCTGGGTTTGATCTCCATTGCTTCTTTGTGCAGCCCTTAGCACTTGTAGAAGGCAGGTCTGCAAAGAGGATATACAAAGATACCATTTGGATGCAGTCATATTATACACACACATTGCATAGCTACAAATGGCTACAGAAAGGACAGGGCAGCCAAGTATAAGTCCAAGACAAGAAGTCTAGAGGTACATAAAAATAAAAACCAGTTGTGCTTTGCTATTGTGCTACTCCAATATAGTTAACATGACTCCAAGCAAGATGCATTCTTACACTGTTCCTTCAGTAGCATTCCTGTCAGTAGGGGACTCTTCAATTCGCTGAACAGCAGCATTTTGAGCACAGTTGGTGTTACCCCAAGTATCCTAACACCTGATTAGATTTCAGCTTGAAACTACTCCAAAGAAAGGGATGGCCATTCTCCTTCTCTATCCAAGCAGAGCTTGAAAACCCCAGAGAATGCAGTCAGAGCACATACTGGGGATTACAGGGAAAGGGAAACATTTTGAAGTGGGTGTGGATTTTACTGCCTTAAGTTTTTGGTATCAACAGCAGAATTTGCACTCTGGCTGAGTTAGCTCCTCTTACAACCCAAGCGGGGAGAAAATAAAATCCCCTAAAGTAAATAGAGTTGGGGGGAATTCAAGAAAAAGAGTTTTTTGTTTGGGTTTTTTTAAAGCCTCCTCTGTAGCCCCTTACAAATATTGTGTCTATCTTGTTTACAGAAGAGAGAGAAATTCCTGTGTTTGTCTGATAGCCACAGATGATAGCAACCAAGAGCAGGCACTTGAAATCTGGTTGGTTCTCCATCAGCCTCATTAAATATATTTAATGCCTGGATTTCCAGTGACCATTTACTTCAAGTGGAAATACTTATACTTGTCCCCTGTGGACAATTTTATGTTTTAAAAACCTCAGAAATCACATTGCACTGAGGCAAATGTCTCTCTTGTAATAAAATTTACTGTCAGAGTTGTGAAACAAGTACAGCAGAACTGCAAATCTGCTGAAGACAAATGTTTTTTTCCAAAACTACTCTGGCTGAAATACCTAGAAAGTAGCAACAGCCCTAAAGTCAGTTAAAAATTCAATTAAGCCATAAAATAAACTTTAGCTTCAAATAATTGTTACTGTTGGAGACCAAAACCTGAAAGAGGTAAGCGCTTGCATTTGTGTGTGCACGCAAACAACATACTTACCATGCATGGCATAACCTGCTCAAAATGCATAGCAGGCATTACTGGTACCAAGTTGTCACTGAAATGTTAATAAAAACAGGCCAGTTTTTTCAAGCAAGGCTGCCTAAACTAAGTCACTTAAATGCATAGTTAGACTCTTACATATCCAATTTTCAGAAGGAAATAGGTACATGCACAGTACCTATTGTTGTCAGTGATAGTTGTAGATAACACACCTCTAAGAAACTAGCTATTTATTTAGGGACCCTAGTATGGATTTACGTGCCCAATTTTAGCCATCCAGAATAAAGGTCTCCATAGTTTTTGTCCTTTGCTGTTGTAAAAGGATACAGAAGAGAACCAAGGTAAATATAGCATAGTCATGTGAATATATTAGTAAGAAAGCTCGTGAAAATATGTATACTTACTGAGGCAGTAAATGGTACCAAGGCACTTTGTTCCCTCACCTTGGGCAGATTATGGTCCTGTCTACTCTAGGCTGCTTCTGCTGCCAAAACCTCTGCTAGCAAATTGTAGCTACTACAAGATCCATACTTACCTAACTCCAGGTAACCCACCTACAGCAGCTATGCAAGCTGGACAAAGTTGATCATGGAAATATACCACCTGCTGAAGAGACTACAGCAGTCAGTAGTGAAGACTGGCCTGGCACAAGGGCTATGGTAATGACGTGGGCAGAGGTTTGTTAAGCCTCTACAGTGCCACGGGTCTATAATTCAATTGTAAGGGTTAATCCCTCAGAGTAGTGGCCTGTAGCCTAGCCCCACTCTGAGGCCCGCTACCATTAATGAAGACAAACACAAAAGTAAGAGTTAATAAGCAAATCTGTATTATAAGCCAAAGGTATCAGCAATCATAACAACATGAACTAATCAACAAGCATTGAACAGAACACTGTATACAAATATGCACAGAGAGCAATACTGGCCTGTCACCAGCGGTGGCAGCCAGGAGCACTGACACCCAGGCTGCAGGGCCTACTGGCCAGGCCCCTGCCAGACACAGGATTTCTATCTAAGGGGGATACTTTACCCGTCCTATGGAGGGGGAACGAAGGTCAGTATCTCCGGTGGAATTCAGGTGTATCTTGGTGGACTTGTCCTTTTCCCTGCACTCACCACTCAGCATCCACACTCCCGATCTTCCCAGGCCTTTCACACACGGGCACCACTCACTCCTACCACATCTCAGCAGATTCAACACCACACAAATGTTTCAGGCTCTCAGCCACTATGCCCAACGCATAGACACCTAGGCATACAGCTAGTCATGCACCATCAGTCATGTCTACCTGCTCATGCAGCCTCTCGACACACGCACTCCCCACTGCACACATGCACACACTGAGGCAACAGTCAAAACCTATTTTATGGTGGCCACCTCACACCACCTGTCAATCATGCCATTGGTCCAATCACAACTCCATTCATTCCAATGAATCAATAACATCACTTTCTTGGAACAATCACATTAATTATTACTATGATGCCCCGTGTTGGCACTGTGAGTATAGTCCCATCCTATGGCTGGGGGTCCCCCCAACTCACCTGCCATGACTTGATGGAATATGTAAAGAAGGAGGGGGTTCAGTGGTGTTAATTCCCCTGTTGACCCGAAGGCAAGGTACTCATGGGTGTGTCGCGGTGGTCTTGGGGGCTCCACCTCCCCTACACCTCATCTACTCGCCAGCCACTCCAGTCTTTGGGCTCGTGCTCCCAGGAGGGTATGCACCCCACAATTGTGGGTCCAGTGTGAGCACCCACAATCCGGCTGGCCACCGGTATCTTGCTTTGGCCCTGAGACTCCAAACCCTGGCCTCAGGGTCTGAGCTGCTGTAATTAGGTGATCCTCACAAGGAAGATCGCTGCCTTAGAGTTCTAATGCTTCGGGGCTGGGAACTGAACATCCCCAGACATGTGCCAGCTACTGTCCCCACTCCTCTGCTGCAGGGCAGTGACTCCAGGACTGTTCCTTCTGGCGTACTGGGTCTTGGCACGCTTGATGTGTCCCCAGCTTGCCCCCCTCCTCCCCTTGCCAGCTTCCAGCTCAGTTTTTAAATCTCCTGCCGCGGCATCCCCAGCTGACGTAATCAGCTGGCCGCCACCCAGCCCCGGAAGCAGCTGCTTGAAGAACCAGTGAAACACTGACTTGTGTGGCTTTCCCTCCGCCCCCATCTGCCCAGGAGGTAAGTTTCCCAAAGGGGTGGCCCTGCTTTCTTTTTCAGGAATCCCAGGTTTCCCCCCCAGTGCCTGCAAGTCCTGTGGCAATTTCCCACTGCCACAGCATTTGGGAATGCTGGGGTTTGCCCCTAGTTCCTCCAAGCCCCGCAGTGGTTTCCCACCACCACAGTGTTTGGGAACGCCACGGTTCGCCCCTGCTGCCTCTGATCCCTGTGGCAGTTTCCCATTGCCACAATTACCACGTAAACTTATTAACATAACATGGTGGAACACCTTTGGGGTGCTCGCCACGTGACAGGGGCTGCCGTAGGCTGGGTCAGAACCCAGCAGGGAAGGCAGCCAAGTTGAGCCCCCCAGATCTCATTCTAAGGGTGGAGGTGTGTGGTGGAGCACCTTTGGTGGTGATTGCCACTTGAGGGCTCTCACAGACTCTGAAGGGAGCCTGCTTTGGAGGAGCAGCAGGGGATGCCTCCCCTAGGTACCATTTTAAGGGGGGAGGTGTGTGGCAGGACACTGTTGGTGCCTGCCACCCGCGCCTGCCGCTTTAAGACCTGAGCCAAGCGGCCAGCAGATGCTTGATTGCGGCATCCATTTTAGAACCCTGGCTGCCTATATAAACAGGTCAGTTCTCTGCTGGTGGGGCAGGCGGCAGCATTGCCTGGCTGCAAGGCTTCATGTACCATCCTGGCTGTAGGGGATGGATTGGAGGCTCCTTGTCCTGGGCATGACCTAAAACTGCACCCTGCTGGGAGTGGGTGGCCTGGTGGGGCTCAGTGGTGTGGAAGCCCCCAGGAAATGCCAGGCCAGTGATGACCCTGGTGAAAGGCAAGAAAGGGTGCCTTAACCCTAGCCATCACCTTCGGGTCAGTTTGTGTAACACTGGAGGTAGGGAGAGTGGAGGCCAGGCATGGCTGTGGCCACCTGAACCCTGTGGGGTGCAATGCCCTGAGGAAAAGTAGTTGAGGCCAGGCATGGCTATGGCCACCTGAGTCCACCGGGGAGGGAAGCCTCATGGCCCCAAGTGAAGGGGGCAGAGTGAAGCCCCGAGTGAAAGCCCCAGTGAGGGGGAGGAGATGAGGAACCCCAGTGAAGGGGGAGGAAAACCAGAGGGCTGAGAGCCCAGTATGTTTATATATAGAGGGAGCACAATGACCTGCTGCTCCAGGGGGGGAGCAAGAGTCCCTGTGAGACCCCGGAACACCAGTTGTGGTGTGAGTCACCCCAGCTCCCACAACCAGGTGGGTCGCCCGCTAGTAGGGCCAGAACGCAGACCCCAGGAGCGAGAGTGGGGCTAGAGGCTCAGAGGCCTGATGTAGAATACCTTCAACTGGTCAATGCTAGGGCCAGGACCAGAATGCTCAAAAGGGCCAGGGGCCCACCGCAAGGGATGCCCAGAGCTGAGGGCCTGGGGTTCCGACTGGCCTTGGAGGTGAGGCCAGGGCCTGTGTGTCCAAAGGTCCCCGGGGGACCATGCCCAAGAGGGAAAATAATTGCAGGGAGCTAGGCAGCCCGAATGAAGGCAGGGTACACCACCTGAATGGAGGGATCTTAGAGGGGTCCTGATTGGTGGATTCTGAGGCCCAGTGTGGGACTGGTGAGATCAACAGCTGGATGCCATCTGTGCAACATGGGCTGCGGTGTAGGGGCGGTACGGAGCCACAGATAGCGCCCCCTGGCATCGGGGC